GCCATCCCCCTACTCTCATGATATAGTTACTCCCATTACTGATCCTGAAGGGTTTATCTTTCCTGAATTCCTGAGCTCTTATCTGTACCAATGTGTGTTCTCCGGTCTAGCCAGATTTGTAGGCTAGAACTGGGTCATGGTAGTGGGGTGGAGGAAGTATTCATGAATTAAAGCAATGATGTGTGATTTGTCGCTGCTATATTACACCTTGGTTGAAACATCCATTCTTTATACCATTTCTGTGGGGGAATATCAACTACTACAGTTTTCATTTAAGGACTCGAGAAGCAGAGGCTTTGAGATATTAAAATTTTACGTAGAGTCACAAAATTGGTAAGCGGCATAACGCCGGTAGATAGATCTGTCTACCTGACTCTAAAAGTTATGTTCTTAATTGGTGTATATTTTTGCTCCATAGATTAGGACTATCCAAAGACATATTAAAACTTGGTTTGATCACTTTATGTAATTACTAATGTAATCTTAGTAACAAATAAATTCAGTGTAGACAACAGCACCCACTCACTGCTATTGAGTTGATTCCAACTCAGAGCGACAAGGTAGAACTGCCCCGTGGAATTGCAAAGATTGTAAATCTTTACAGAAGCATAGGCCTCATGTGTCTTCTGGAGAGCAGCTGGTAGTTTCAAACTACCAATCTTTCAGTTAGCCATCCCTCATCTCACTGTGCCACTGGGGTTCTTTGGCCAGTAACACAGGTAGGGGACTTCCAAGCAAGGAGTCCGGACTGGTGCAGATGGTGAGTTTGGCTGCTGCCCAAAGCTGAGAGGTTTGTGTTTCCCCAAAGGTGCCTCCAAATAAAACCATGGCAATCTCCTTCCCAAATCTTTCCCACTGGGAAGACTTTGGAGCACAATTCTACTATAACACACATGAGGTGGCCTTGTGTTGGAATTGTCCTGACAGCAACTGGTTGAGTGCTCTGTAGTCTATGAACTGTTAACCCACATATGTTTTATACATTTTATAGCTCCTCACTCTATTTTTCTTTCTTTTTTTTTTACTTTTTAAATCTAGGATTTCAAAGGGACCTGCCCAAACTAGTGAGCTCCTAGAAGACAAGGATAAAGACTGTGACACTTTAGAAATTGAGACACCTTCTAGACTTCTGCTTGGCCTCCAGTCACCACTTGGCATGGTCAGAAGGCTAACTATCTTGTGTAAAAGGAAGGGTTAGGGTCAATAAATGAAAATAATAAGGAAAAAGATTTCATGCCAGTGTAAAGAATTTTCTAAGTGACAAATATTGTCTAGATCTCTAATGGTTTCAAAAAAAGAACTACACCTCTACCCCCAAAGAGTTCTGTGGAAGGCAAACTGTTTCCAAGATTGATAACTGAGCTATCAATATTGAACTACTTATTTGCATTATTGAAGTTGTAGTTAAAGTCAGTAGCATCACAGAGAAAGGTCTGGTTAACTCTCCAGAGGCCGTCATGCCTCTGTGACAATCAAGCATAACTTAGAAGCCCAGGTAAGGATTCTTTTTC